GAGCCATTGCCATTAAGGCTATTCCAACTTACAGCCACTTTTTAGGACAAAGTGGCATTGCCCCATAGGTTTTCCAAGGCTGTAAATCTTCATGGAAGCAGACTATCTCATCTTTCTCCTGTGTAGCAGCTCATGGGTTTGAACTGCCAACCTTTGGTCAACAGCCGAGAACTTTAACCAATTTGCCATCAGAGCTCCTGATCACCTAACAACAAAACAGTGCAAACTGAAAACAAAGGGCCCCTTATTTAAAAATTATTAAGAATTTCAAGACTGCAACTGCAGAATGTTAAACCAAAAGTGGGCTTTTCTTGCCATGAGGCCTCTGCGTGGATCTTTCATCTACTGGTCTCCTTTCCTTTGCTCCCTCCTCATTTCTTCATTTTTCTATCCAATGAACAATTATTAAGCACTCACTGTGTGTGCAGCATTGTGCCCATTATAGGAAATGAAAAAATATGATTAAGACCTGATTAGATTATGGTGATTAAGACTCCCCTGAAATAGATGAGACAGCACTCAAATTGTGACTATATTTTTGGCTCCTTCACATCAAATGTTCATCTGTAATTACCAGGTTCTTGTGATCTATGTTCTAACTATAGGACTACAGCAGTCCCTATCTCCCTTGTTTTATTACCATCACACACACTATCTCTTCAGTCTCTACAGACAAATTTACTTACAGCCAGGCAATAGAGAATCTATTTAAATCTTTTGTGCATTTTTATTAGGTTGTTTCTTGTTGTTTATATTTGAAGATTATTATATATTTTGTGGAATATATATTCTGTTACATATTGTCTAAATCAGATATATGATTTACAAATACTTTCCCAGTCTGTGACTTTTCTTTTCATGCTTTTATCAAAGACTTTTGAAGAGCAGATAGTTTTAATTTTGATAAATTTCAATCTATCAATTTTTTTGTTTTTGTTTTATTGATTGGACATCTGGTGTTATTTATAAGAAATCTTTGCTTAATTTGTGAGTCTTCTATGGTTTCTTATAAAAGTGTTATTGTTTACATTTTATGTCTATGCCTAAGGCTCATTTGGAGATAGCTTTTATATATGGTACAAGGTATGGTGTGAAGTTCATTTTTCTATATGTGGCTATTCAACTGTTTCAGTGCCATTTATTGGACATGCTAACATTTCTCTCCTAATTTTTCTTTGCAACTTTGATGAAAATCATTGGACCATATATGTGTGGGTCTGTTTCTGAATTCTTCATTCTTTTCCATTGATGCATTTGTCTATCTTTATGTTCATATCACACTGTGTTGATTATTGTAGATTTTTATTGTTTTAAAGCAGCTATTATAAGTCTTCCAACTTTTTCTTCTTTTTCAGAGTTGTTTTGTCTATTCTAAGTTATTTACATTTACATATGAATTTTAGAATCAGCATGTCAATTTATTCACTTATTTATATTATATAATATATAGGTTTATGAATATTCACATTTTATATAATTCTTCTGTTGACCATTTTTTTAAATGATTTTACTATTGTTATTCTATTATGAATAGAGCTGCTAACATGAATAGCTTTTGCCTTCACATGCACATGTGCAAGGGTTTCTTGTATATATTTCTAGTATTAATTTGCTGAGTTATAAGTTCAGCAAAAGTTCAAATTTATAGAATATGGCTAAATTGTTTTCCAAGGTGATTGAGCCAATTTATACTCCAATCAACTATATAAGAGTATAACCAAGCATATATATATATGTTGTTGTTACGTGCTGTCAAGTCAGACCTGACTCATAGCGACCCCTCCTTGGGTTTCCAAGGCACTATCACAACGGAAGTAGGTTGCCCAACTTTCCTTCCCAGGAGTGGCTGATAGGTTTGAACTGCCGGCCTTCTGGTTAGCAGTCAAGTGCCTTAAGCACTATGCTGCCAGAGTATATGTATATATGTATAACAAGCTGAGTGGTAGAGATCATATTTATGCCCATTCCAAAGAAACATGATCCAATATAATGTGGAAACTCTCAAAAATATAATTAATATTATACACAAGTAAATTTTGCTGAAGATAATTAAAAAATGGCTGCAGCAGTGTATTGTTAGAGAACTGCCAGAAATTCAAGCTGAATTCAGAAGAGGGTATGGAATGAGGGATATCATTGGTGATGTCAGATAGATCTTGTCTTAAAGCAAAGAATACCAGAAAGATGTTTACCTCTGTTTTATTCACTATGCAAAGGCTTTTGACTGTATGGACCATGACACATTATGGATAACAAAGTAGAGAACAGGTACTCCAGGACATTTAATTGTGCTCATGAGGAACCTACCTGTACATAAACCAAGAGGCGGTAGCTGGAACAGAACAAGGGGATACTGAATGGTTTAAAATCAGGAAAGGTGTACATCAGGGTTGCATGCTTTCACCATATTTATTCAATCTATGTGCTGAGCAAGTAATCAGAGAAGCTGGAGTGTAGGAAGAAGAACATGGTATCAGGATTGCAGGAAGACATTAACATCTTGTGATATGCAGTTGACACAACCTTCGTTGCTGAAAGTGAAGAAGACTTGAAAAACTTACTAATAAAGATCAAAGACTATAGCCTTCAGTATGGATTACACCTCAACATGAAGAAAACAAAAATCCTCACAACTGGACCAGTAAGCAACATCACAATAAATAGAGAAAAGATTGAAATTGTCAGGGATTTCATTTTACTTGATCCACAATCAAAACCCATGGAAGCAGCAGTCAAAAAATCGGGTGCTATATTACACTGGGCAAATCTGCTACAAAAGACCTCTTTAAAGTATTAAAGAGCAAAGATGTCACTTTGAGGATTATGGTATGTCTGATCCAAGCCATGATGGTTTCAATCTCCTAATATGCCTGTGAAAGCTGGACAATGAATAAAGAAGACCTAAGAACAGTTGATGCCTTTGAATTGTGGTGTTGGCAAAGAATACTAAAAATACCATTGACTGCCAGAAAAATGGACAAACCTGTCCTGGAAGAAGGACAGTCGACATGCTCCTTTGAAGTGAGAATGACCAGACTTCATCTCACCTACTTTGGTCATGTTGTCAGAAGGGACCAATCCCCGAAGAAGAATATCATACTTGGTAAAACAGAGGGTCAGTGAAAAAAGGGAAGACCTTCAACAAGATAGCTTGACCAGTGGCTGCAATGATGGGCTCAAACAAAGATTGTGAGGATGGCACAGGATTGGGCAGTGTGAGTCAGACACGACTCAGCACCTAAAAACAACGTCAACTATATGTAAGAGAAGGTTGGGCGATCTACTTCCGTAGTGATACTGCCTTGGAAACCCAAGGAAGGGTCACTATGAGCCAATTCTGACTCCATAGCAGTTTTCTTTTTTTGTTTGTTTTATGTATCCTTATTCTCTCCAGCATTTGGTGTTGTTAGCCCTCTTAAGCTTGCCATCAAATAGGTGAAAATCAATACCATACACACTGTAGTCTTGATTTGCATTTCCCAAGATGATATTGGGCTTTTCTTCATATGTTTATTGGCCTTATGTTTCCTTTTTCTACGAAATGCTTGTTCATATTTTTTGCTAATATTTCTGTTGGGTAACAGGCCATTTCATAGCCTCATGTAAGAAATATCTGTCGAAAACTTTTGCCATGTTTTTTCCTGTTGGAGTGCCTGTCTGGTTTTAGGTAGATAGGTATTTATTTTTATTCTAATCTTATGAGGTGTTCTGTGAGATGTAAATATTTATTCTACTGCAAAAAAAATTTTGGGGGAATGTCTTTTGATGTATAATTTTATCTTATTTTGATGTATATGAATTAATCTATTTTTTATGGTTTCTCTTTTTAAGTTTTGAATATTTTTATAACTCTCTGGATTCAAGACTTGCAGAACATCTTTTTAAAAATTTATTCATTAGTTTGTTATGGTGAGAATAGTATTTAGAATTACTTAAGAATTTAAGTTAATAAATTTCACATTTGTTCTCCCTCTAGTTTATAATTTCAATAATTTACAGGAAAACTTCTTTATCTCTTCATAAATTCCCAAGTTAAAAAAAAGCTCTCTGGGTATCCTTAAATGTAAGTACTTTCACCTACCATATTTTATCTCACCATTACAGCTAAGATCTTGTGCCCAGAATATGGTAAAACTTGGTGAGCATTGCCCTTATAAAGCTTTGTTTAGCCTTAATTCTGATTGTACTACACATTACTTTGACTAAAATATGTGAGCTATGCTAATTGTTCTGGAAAGGTCAGATCTCAAATCCATTTGTGAAGCCAAAAGCTGCTCTGGTGTAAATGTACCACCAGGATCCATTTCAAAACATTGTCTTCTCTTGCCAGGGTCAGTGCAGCCAGCCCTATCACCCACGTAACCAGAGAATGCCAGCGTCCACACTCTCAGAGAGGCAGCCTCTTTCACACTGTTAATTTTCAGCATATTTTAGCCCTTTCCTTATTTTTTAAAATGAAAGTCTTTTGTTGGTTATCATTCTAACGCAAAGACTGCTACTTTTCTATGAGAAGTTTTGACAGAGAGAGGTGGGGGGAAATAGCTTTCCAGGAAAATAGCAGATTTTTTTTTTTTTCTTAGCAAGTTTTATTTTCACTGAAATTGAGAAAATGAACACAATGTTCCCAGGTTTGCCCAACTTGGAGAACAATTGTTAAATTGAATGTTCCATAGCTCTGTAGCTTAAACCTGAACCCCAGGTGCAAGGATTTCTTCTTACTCATTTAATTTACCAAGTACATTTAGTGGTCAGTATTTCTCACCTTTCTAAGAGTACACTCATCACACTACCCTCAATATCTATAATTAGAAGAAAGCCACACACAGAATAGAATGAAGCCAGATTTGGTTTGTTTAGGAATTACATGATCAGTTTAGTTTTATTGCAAACATGAGTCCCCAAATATAACCCTTTTGACCTGATTACTCCATCCCTAAATAGCAAACTAAACATTCATGAAAATTTAATGGTGAGGAAATTAGTACCTTCTTATGTTTCAGGCTGCGAAATGGCACCAGAGGAGCACTTCCAGTGACAGGCAGAAGTGTGTGGATGTGCTAGACCAAACTTCAAAAATTTATAGTTTCAACCTGTAAGCCCTCTCCAAGTCAATTGGTAGCCAAGACCTTCTGACAGGACACCGCCAGGATGCCTCCCAAAAAAGGTATTTCAAAATAAAGACCTGTTAGTAGAATACTATAACTTTCTTAGAGATTGGATCCTTTGAAAAGTTTTTTCCAGCATTTTTGTTCCCTTGTAGTAGCTTTCCTCCTTTTATTTATCTGCGAGTAGGTTCCCTTTGTTTCTTGAGAAATTGGGAAGGATTTAATTTTTCTTCTTCAATTTCTTCTTTACTTTTGTAGAAATTTGATAGTATCAACTAGTAAGTGCCTGTACTTATTTTTCTTTCATTTCAGAGGATAATGGGGGGAATAGCAAAACACCTTGAGAATCCAGTGCAACAATTCAAAACTTAGTTCAGTCCTTCGAAGTGACCTATTGTCAGTTTGGTGTATGAAACCATTTTTTAAGGAGACTTGTGCTTGCTTCAATTTGTGAATTAAATAAAGTTGAAGGGGAGAGGAAACAGATTCAGGCAGGGAAAGCAAGGAAAGGAGGCATAAACCCTGTTTAAGTGTGGGTATTTAAGTGAAGGGATAAGCAATGTGATTAACTGTATTTTTATTTACTATGCCTTGCTTTCAGGTGTATTTTCAGTACCATGTGGATAATCTGCAACAAATTTATCAGTCAACCTAGGAAGCCTTACGTAATATACATTTGGATCTGTTTTCAGCAACATTTTGGTCCCCACCAGACAAACTAGTAGAATTTTTCAAACAGAAAATAACTGAATATATGTTTGCTTTTCATAATAGAACTCTTAATCCAGATAGTCTTAGAATCAGTTGTTCTTTTAGCTGACTTATTTAATATTAGAATGGAAAGTGGAGACAGAGCTCATTTAGAGATAATCTATTAAAGCCATCCAGCTTCAAGCCTGTATCTATCTTGGAAATCTGAGCACTATCCTATTTAATGTGCTCAGTTATTTTATTCACTTCAAATATCTGGGGAGTCAGGAATGTCATTATCTGAGTAGGTCATTGCTTTCAGAAAGCAAAAGCAAAAACAACCATTTCTTTTGAGGATTTACACATCTTTCCAAAGAATTTCTTGGAAATGGCCCACAGGTGTATATTAGTTTTTTAAAAGGTGGGTCTGGTTTTCCATCAACAGGGTAGGGTTCAAATCTTATGTAAGATGCTAGATTTTTACCCACTCAGAATGGCATCTCAGGTTATTTAGTTAGTTATAGGGTTGACAGGCTCTTTTTAGATCCCTAACAATTCTCACAAAAACTTGCAATAAAGCTGCTTAGTTTATTTTAAATAACAATCATTTTAAATAAGTAAGGTAAGAATTGATTTTTCTTGCTGTTCATCAGTACTGTATTATTTTGGATTTATTCATTCTATTGCTTTCTCAATAACATATATTTTAAACTTTTATTACTTTATTTATTATGAATGTAATATTTTTGGTTGCAGAAAATGTGCATTTTAGGTAATTTAGAAAAATACTTTAATTGATGACACCACCAAAAACAGGATCCTACCACAGAGCAATCACCATTGACATTTTGACATTCAGATATCCTCTTCCAGATTTTATTCTATGAAAGTTACATTAGTTTTTCTAATAAAATAGATTAAATTTATTAATATGGAAAGAACATAGTTTTTTTTCCCCCTCTTAAAGTTAATGCTTGCACTTCAAAGAAAGGAAAAGAGTGATAACATTGCCTATTTGGATTTGTATAAAACATTTTCATAACAATGGCTTCCTTTTTGAGTGCTTATCACATGCCAGGCTCTGTGTGACATGTAATGATGAGTTACCTTGATGACTAGATATAAAGTATTGTAAAATGATACCTTACGATCAGGACTACCATTTTCAATAAGCTGTCAAGGGACATAGCAGGTTGATGGACAGCTGCATTGTTCAGTATGCTTAACTTCTTCAGATAGAACACAATGAAAATTGTCTAGAGGTAGTCATGAAAAAGATGGAGGAAGGAAATTTTATTTACTTGGATGTTTCTTGTTTCTTGTTTTCTATTAGTCAAGATTTACCTCATGGACAGTTAACATATTTCTTAGTTGTATCATCTGGCCCCTTCAACAGATGCTGTCATATGCAAGGTCCCACACTCTATGGTGTGGTGTTCCATCCAAGTCTGGAAGTGACAGAGGCCCTAAAATCTCGGTGTTTGCCGGTGGTCAGCCCCACTGCCTGCTTGGCATTTCAAGGGCAAATGATTGGTTGGGTCTGGGATGTGGCTGGAGCCTTTGGAAGTAAGAAGACATTTGAGTAAATCTAACGAGGTGCATATGGTTTCTGTCTGACAGAGAAAGGAAGAACTCCAAGCATATTTGGTATGTAGAAATACGAGTACTTGGTAAGATGGCATATGGAAAGATGAGGAAGTGGAAGGTTAACTGAGTAGAAATTTCAATAAAACAGAGAGACAGCAGAAAGAAATGGTTTGGTAGAGGTAAATCTAGACTAGTCCTTCCTTGCTGGTGCTCAAAAAAGGAGTGGGTATTGGTTATAATGATTTTGACATCATCTGGGAATTGAAATTACTAGAATCATGTGGATTCCCAGGAAGAACACATAAAATGCCAAGGGAAGATGGCCAATAATGTTACCGTAGACAACTTCAGTGTTTAGTGGTAGGTGGAAGAAGATGAGCCCGTGGAAGAACAGAAATGAAGGGTGAGAGTGGAAGAGGAGACCCTGGAGAGAAGAGTCACAGAAGCTAAGGGAGTGGAGAATTTCAAAAGGGAAGGCTGGTCAGTTAAGAACTTCAGTATATTGCACAGGAATAACATAATGCAGAGAAACCCTGGGGATATTTCACCCTGGGGATATATAAAAATGATGAAAATAATGAATTTTGCTCAAAAAAATATAATTATGTTCAGATATTTCTTTATGCCCCTCTATCACTTATCTATCATATCTATCTATCATTTATCTATCATCTATCTACCATCATCATTGAAGAGTAACAAAACATTAATAGAGTTTTTTTTTCTTCAGTGAATAGATTCTGTGATTTATAAATAGAAACTACTTATTGATAAAATAGTGCTACAAAATGACTTAAATGAGATAATGCTTGTGAAAGTCATCTGTAAACTCTGAAATGACACACAAAATAAAAGTGGAATTTGTAACTCTGTTGGTATATGATAGTTTGGCCATAAGAATATTTTTCAACAATGCAAAGATAAACCTCAGCGCTCAAGTGTATGTTATTTCACTATACTTAAAGATGAGTAAGTGACATTTGGTATAAGATATAAATAATATATGCAGATGTGTTTGGATTATAACTTCTCTAGAAATTCATTTCATTCATTTTTCATTTATTAGTTCATTCAGGAAACAATTCATTTGGTTCTTTTTATGTGTTCTGGAAAGAATGTAGTGTGATATAGTTCCTCCTCTCAAAGGGCTTATACATTAATGTGTTTGGTGCAATATTAAATGATAATTGCTACAAAAAATTGCATAACAAGCTAGAGGGAGCCTTGAATAATTAGTACCACATCTGTCTTTGTTTCTAACCTGTCCTATCCTTTCCGGATTCTCCTGGAATAGACAGGACTTCTTGAGCATGAAATGTCCATCAGTGATGGCTAAAAGATGGTATTCCATTGACTGATTAAAATGTTTACACTATTTCATTTCCATTTCTTTCATCCCATTTTTTAAATCAGCCTATCACCACCACAATCAAGATTTACAACATTTTCACAGCCTCAAAATGTTTCTTTCTGCTCTTTTGCCATCAACCCACACACTCTGCCCCTCCTCCCATTCTGCCTCCAAATCCATTAGCAATCACTAATCTGTTTTTTTTGGCGCTATAGATTAGTTTGATTTTTTTTCTAGACCTTCATATAAAGGATGTACTCTTTTGAAACTGACTTCTTTCTTTAGAAATGCTTTTGATGTTCAACCATAGTATTAGATTATTAGTAATTTCTTTTTGTTTTATTGGTGAGTAGTATTCCACTGTATGGATGTACCACAACTTGTTTACTTATTTATGTGTTGATAGATTTTAGAGTTGTGTCCAATTTGGGCTATTAGTAATAAAGCTATGAATATTTGAGCACATATATATATCTATACATGTACACACACACGCATATGTGTGTATGTGTGTGTGTGTGTGTGTGTGTATACATATATATAGTGTGTGTGAACATATGGATTGGAATTCCTGGGTTATATAATAGTGTTTGATTAATTTCATGAGAATCTGCCAAATGGCTTTTCAAAGAAGCTGTATCATGTTGCCTTTTTACCAACAGCGTATGAGAGTTCCAGTTAACTCATATGTTTGCCAAACGCTGGTACTGTGAGTGAATAATTCTTAAGTCACAGCCTTTTGAGAAGTTTGTAATGGTACCTCATTGTGGTTTTAATTTGTATTTCCCTAATGACTAATGAGGAGCTCTGGTAGCATAGTGGCTAAAGCACTTGACTGCTAACCAGAAGGCTGGCGGTTC